TTTTATGTTGGATGTTTGATGTGTCTTATACGATTTGAAATTCTCTTGCGAATAGAAAAACTTAAATAATTATATGTTGACTTGTCAATGCAGTTTTCTTTTGCATGGAGTATTCAAACCTTTTGATGCATGATATCGTTGGTGATATAAAATACGGATTTTGCATGGTTTTGGCATGTGGATAGAAGACTATGATAAGTAACGGATGTTGTATCGGGCTGTATCGATGGAAGATCCCTACCCATTCCCCACCCTTGCTGACTTTCATTACACCTTTGTGATACAAGTAGAGACGTTAGCAAAGTTTGTGTTAGAAATTTTACCAATTTGCCCTCCACCTACCATCGTCCGATAGCACCCACTCACCTACCACCTCCACTGACACTACACCTACTACCACCTTCCTTCTACTATATAGAGTTGAATGACATAACACAACAATCTTGCTATACAGATCAATCAATAAATACATAGTTATTTTTTACATGGATCAGAGCAAGGTTAACAAAAAACCTAGGTATGTCCGTCTTCACACGGCGGGCGGCAGCCTCGCCTTGGCCGTCCGCCGGAACAAACCCAAATTCTAACTTCTCTGTAGCTTTCTCTCTCTAAAACTATATCTGACATGGCAGCTGGAGATCTCCGGGCTCCCCCCTCTCTTCCTCAGTACCCAGAATATGATTATGGCTGCCGACGAGGCTCTGAACGACAAGAAACGGTTCCGCAAAGGTCGGCATCTCGAAGCACATCGAGGCCACCGCTTCCGAGCGACGTTCCGGGCGGCGCATGCGCGCTTCTCTCTCATCATGTTAACAAGATGAAGCAGAGCGGTCAGCTCGCATGTCAGACCAACACTGAAGCCCGGACCCCAACGCGCCGCCGAACGCAGCCGCGCCGCCGTCCGCCGGAGCCCAAGGCTTAGCCCCGCGCTGACGCGGAAGAGGCTTCCCCTCAGAGGCCTAGAGGCCGCCCTTCGATCTACTGATCCATCGGCTCCGCCACCTGGTGAGAGCGAGAGGGATAGACGGCCACCAAAGGTCGAAGCCGCGTGCTGCTCGAGGATCAGATTGCTCAATGGCCAGAAACTTCAACCCAGTCCGATATCGCCGAGTTCAAGGAACCGGCGGCACGAGCGGAAGCGGAGGGGTGCCGAGTTCGAACCTTACTTCAAGAAGTTGAATAATTGTGGATAATGGAGAAGACTGTGGGAATCTGACTCTACTACCCTCATCTCATTCCACTATATTCCCTCACTCTCTGTTCTCTCACTTTACTTTCTTTTCTTTTTCTTTATTTTTTTGTTTCCCCACAACCCACTATCACACGCCACGACCTTTACAACCCAGCAGATTTCTGTATACAAAAAAAAAAAAAAAAAAGTGAGGCGGGAATGGATGTGATAAAAAAAAAAAAAAAAAAAAAAACAATTTGCACAACTCACCTGGGCGAACATAATCATGATGATGCAGAGGCAGCACGCCTTACCTTAGTGCTCCACACCCATTCTTTTTTTTCTTTATTTATTCATCACCACTATTTGTTCTCTCCTTTCTGCACATGCACATTATCCCAACCATCCTTTCACTTTTGTCCAATTCAGATTTTCCAAGGGCTCAAAATTTTTTGATTTGTCCAATAATTCAGAATTTTGATCAATATATGATACCATTTTTTCGTTTTTAATTATCTTATCTATTCTTTATTACAAAAGAAAAAAAAAAAAAATAAAAAAAAAAATAAAAAAAAAAAAAACCAAACACCATGCAAACAATTTCACCAATTGCACAACCCACCCATATCTTTCATTCATCTCAGCGGAAGAACCCCGTTCACCATTGTTATCACAAAAAAAAAAAAAAAGAACAAATAAAAAAAAACAAAACAAAACCGACAAACAAAAAACAAAACAAAAAAAAAACACAAAAGAGCGTATCAAAAGCACAAGCAAAACAGTACAAAAACAAAACCACCACCCACAGTGGATTTTTCCAGCTTCTCTACTCTGCGCCCAGTCTCTTCTTCCTGCTCCTCCTGGGCGGCCCTTGACGGTGCTGCCTCCGTGTTTTCCAGTCCACCGAGCACGTTCACTCCCCCATACTCCTCCACTGCAGCATATGGAGGACCTCCAAATCGGAACATCACGGTGGCCTTCCGCTTCAGCTCCTTGTTTTCTGCCCTTAGTACGCTTATCTCTGCTCGCGCATCCTTATACATGCGTTGGAGCAGAGCCAGCTGGGAGTTTAAATGCTGCACCTCATTTGTCCTACTCTGCAGCCGGTTCGACAGGTTTGTGACCGCCGTCATGCTTTCCACACATGCCTTCAAAGTATACTGATTGGCCTCCACATCCGACAGCCCTGCCATTCTTTGCTCCACAGACCGCATCGGAAAGTTCAACGGAGTATACCCAGCGGTGTTTGGTTGAGGTTCACTGGCTACCGCACCAGTTCTCTCTCTCGTTGACTCGTTGAGGTCGGGAAAGAAGGTGAGCAGCCCGCGGGAAGACGATGAAGCCATTCTCTCAGACAACAGAGTGTTACAGAATCTCTCTCAGAAATCTCTCTCAGACACGGCAGAATTTTTCAGAGGTTTTCGCAGGTTTTTTTTTTTTCTTTTTGCCTCTGCCTCGGCCTCAGGCTCCTACTTGGTTAAATAACCGAGTCAGCCACGCGCATCGCGCGCCTCTTGCCACAAGCCGACAAACGGGCGCACCAACCAAGGCACTCACGTGCTTCGCCATGATGAATCCGGCACACCTTTTAATGAATTGGGCACGCCTTTTGATGGCACGCCTTTTGATAAAATTGGGCACGCCTTTTGAGGGTGCAACTTCACCAAGGGTCCGACAAGACTCTATAAACTGTCCCGACATTTGATACCGGTTAGCTTTTTCAAGGGTCCGACAAGACTCTGTAAACTGTCCCGACATTGATTCCGGTTAGCTCCTTTATGGGTCCGACAAGACTCTGTAAACTGTCCCGACATAGATTCCGGTTAGTTTCTACAAGGGTCCAGCAAGACTCATATATTAATAAAAAACTTAACAAAGTAATTTTGTAACTTACAAGCAAAGAAAAAAAAATTATATAAAAATTTAAAATGTAAAAATAAAAATAAAAACCTCATTTAGATTTTTTGCTTTGGGTACAAAAATAAGAAAAAAAAAATAATGGATATACAATGCCAGAGCAAAGTAAAAGAAATTAAAGGAATGTGAATATGATTGAGAACCAATGTTAATTTTGAATGAGAACAAATATCAGATATTCATTCTTTATGGTTACGATTTTGAAATCAAAGCCCCATGGCACAACTATCTTGGGTGGCGATAGATATTAATTTTGACTGATAAAAAAAAATTAACCCTCACCTACTCCTCACCTACTACCCAAACCCTCTCCTATATAATGCCACTCTGATTTGTAATACAATATAACAATCATTCATCAATCAATAATACATATATTTTTACAAATTCTATATGTTGCGTTTAAAATTCTTCAGATGAGTTTTAAGTACAAATTTATTTGTTTGAAAAAAAGAAGGTATAAGGTTTGAACTGCATCATTGAACAATTTTATGCTAGTAGCATTTTCATTTATTTGTTGAACATACTTGTAAAGCTCTTGGAACATATTAGAAGGTTCTCACAAGTCATATTGGTGTTAATTCTTACCTCGAAATTGCTTCTTTGCCTAAAAGATACATTAATCTCTTTTAGGTGGAATCAACAATAGAACACATCTGTCGTCGTGAAGGTGATGGAGCCATTCTTGTATTCCTCACTGGTTGGGATGACATTTCTAAGCTGCTTGAAAAAATTAAAGCAAACAGTTTACTTAGAGATCCCAGCAAGTTTCTTGTTCTTCCTCTTCATGGTTCAATGCCTACCATCAATCAACGTGAAATATTTGATCGCCCACCTGCCAATGTGAGGTATCCATCTTTCTTGTTGAGGTTCTATCTTTTGGTAAAGATTTATGATACTTTTTTTTTTTTTTATCCTTAGCGAATGAATTAAATTTATTTTGAGCATTTGGATTTTTTCCAAAGTCATGTATTTTTTCTTGTCTCTTCAATTGCTTAGTTGTGTACTCAAACTTAAGGTGATTCATCATCAAGGATGGTTTTTTACCAAACCAAACCAAGCCTTAAGTCCCATCAAATGGGGTCGGTTAGATGAATCCTTCTTCTTCACACGGCCCTATCAAAGGCCCCCTATCAAAGGTCATTTCATTAGTCATCAAGGATAGTTTTTTGTTTATTCTTTTTTGTTTTCTTCTTCTTTTCACTGATTGGTATTGATGTGCAAATATACAGAAGACAACATAAGTTAAATCATGGTCATGGTTACTATTCAGAATTACTTAAACTTTGTCGAGTGACAGCATTACATATTCTCTTAGTTCGCTATTTGAACCATCTGTGTCATTCATTTTGAATCTGTTCTAGTGGGCATAAACTTGGATACTGTCTGATGACAGAAATCTAATTGTATTGAGCTGTTCCATGGTCTGTAGTAATGAATTATATTTGTCCTAGTGAGCATCTTGGTTTGTAAAGGTGTTGTGCTCCTTCATCCCTTGTTCCCTTTTACTGTGTAGATTGAATGGCTGATGGTATCAATTTCCTTGCCCGTCTCAGCTAACTTGAATCTTATTCAATGATATAACAATATTTTGTGTTGGTGTACTCTCACTTTGTTCTCTATTTGAGAAAATCTAGACTCTCTTGGGAAACTGTTTGGTGGAGCCGTTCTTCAAGGTTTGTACTGATTGAATGGTTCACATCACCCTAGCATTCAATATATGATGATATGAATTTTCTGAATATATTGATTTGTATGTTTATATTTTTATGGTAGTGTTGCAATAGATAGTTTTGCTAATCTGTAATCTTTCAAAATTCTTGTTTATTTCCAAAATCTTAGGTGTATTTTATGTGCTTTGCAGAAAAATTGTGCTAGCGACAAACATTGCTGAGAGTAGTATAACCATAGATGATGTTATATATGTCATAGATTGTGGAAAGGCAAAGGAGACTAGTTATGATGCTCTAAACAAGCTGGCTTGTCTGTTGCCATCATGGATCTCAAAGGCCTCAGCACATCAGGTTCACTACTACCTACAAATTGTATCTCTATTCTAAATGTAAGTCTGTATAAATTATCCAAAGTCACACCTTAGGGCCACTGGAGGATTGCCTGGTCGTTAACTTCAGGGCCCTGAGATTAGTCGAGGTGCTCGAAAGTTGGCCCGGTCACTCGGATATCGAAAAAAAAATTATCCAGCCTACTCTTAAAATTATTGCAACTAAATTTCTTGAGTGCTTACTCGCATTTTTACTTCATGTTTTATGTTTGAGACAATTGCAGAGACGTGGTCGTGCGGGTCGTGTGCAACCTGGAGTTTGTTATAGATTGTATCCAAAATTGATCCACGATGCGATGCCCCAGTATCAACTGCCTGAAATTCTTCGAACACCTTTGCAAGAGCTATGCCTGCATATTAAAAGTTTGCAGCTTGGAGTCATTGGATCATTTTTAGCGAAGGCACTTCAGCCTCCAGATGCCCTCTCCGTTCAAAATGCGATTGAACTTCTTAAAACAATTGGGGCTCTAGATGATAATGAAGAGCTCACTCCACTTGGTATGTAATCTCATATGCCTGTGGAGTCCCTGTCAATTTATAGATTTAGAAAATCCTCTGATTAATTTTACTTGACAGGTCGCCACCTGTGCACTCTGCCTTTGGACCCAAATATTGGAAAGATGCTTCTCATGGGTTCAATCTTTCAATGCCTTAATCCTGCATTAACAATTGCTTCTGCTCTGGCACACCGTGATCCATTTGTCCTCCCAATAAATAGGAAAGAGGAAGCTGATGATGCAAAGAGATCCTTTGCTGGTGATTCTTGCAGGTTTGGTTATTTACTAAAGCCATACTGTTTTCTTTTTATTTTTTTTATAAAATATTTCACCCCTTTCTAATGCAGCGATCACATTGCGCTTCTCAAAGCATTTGACGAATGGAAGGATGCAAAACATTATGGAAAGGAAAAAGCCTTCTGTTGGGAAAATTTTCTATCTCCTGTAACATTACAGATGATGGAGGATATGAGAAGCCAGTTTCTGGATCTATTGTCAGGAATTGGCTTTGTAGATAAATCCAGAGGTCCTAATGTAAGCTCTAAAGTAAAATTCCATAAATGTCTGCCATTAATCGTTTGCCTATGCCTACTCATGGTTAACTAATAGTTGCCCTTCTGATTGCTTAGGAGATGAATTTGTTTGGTTGAGTTTTCAGAATCCATTTTCTGAAAAATAAATAAATAATAAATTCATGAAAAAAATGAAAAATAAAAAACACATTATTTTCATATGATTCTCTTTTTTGAGGAGGAAATAATTTTTAAAAAATTTAAAAAATCATTTTTTGTGGTTATTTTTGTCCAGCTAGTTTATAATTTTTCAAAAAAAATTCAGAAAACTAGTTTTGAAAACTCAACCAAATAATGTTATTGATTCTGAAACATTTAGGATAAACATGGATATGGAATGATTGTTCAGAACTACCTAAACCAGTTGAGACACATGGTTAATAGACTCGTATCCATTTTTTGCAGGCTTATAACCAATATAGTAATGATTTGGAGATGGTATCTGCAATCCTTTGTGCTGGGCTCTACCCGAATGTTGTGCAGTGTAAAAGAAGAGGAAAGCGGACCGCGTTCTACACTAAAGAAGTCGGGAAAGTTGACATCCATCCTGCATCTGTAAATGCTGGTGTTCATCTTTTCCCTCTTCCTTACATGGTTTATAGCGAAAAGGTGAAGACAACCAGCATATATATAAGAGATTCCACAAATATATCAGACTATGCTCTACTTATGTTCGGTGGTAATCTCATTCCTAGCAAAACTGGTGAAGGTATTGAAATGCTTGGAGGGTACCTTCATTTCTCCGCTTCAAAGAGCGTGTTGGAGTTGATACGGGTAGTGTTTCCTTTTGGGAGTCTCTCTCTATTTTCCCCTCTACTCTCTTCTGCCCTTTTCGTACCAAGGGCTGCAAACGAGCTGAGTTGAGCTAAACTTTGCAGGGCTGGAGCTTGGCCCGTTTGTTTATCAAGCTCAAGCTCGGCTTGATCCAGCCCATTTGTTTATCAAGCTCAAGCTCGGCTTGACTCATTTATACTAGTCATGCTCGAGCTCAGGTCAAACCTCAATAATGGGGGGAAAAAAAAGAAGTCAGCTTGATAATCAAGTTTGGTTGGCTTGTTAAATATTATTATATATTAAATATACATATATAACACATTGTATATTATTTAACATCTTATTATTTAAGTAAATAATAAACAATATGAACTTATTCTAGCTCGAGCATTCATTTATTAAACGAGCTTAAAAACCTGCTTGAGCTTTTTTATATACGTAACGAACCAAGCTTAGCTACTGAGCCAAGCTCGCAAGCAGCGTGGTTCATTTGCGGTCCTACTCTTACCAGTCCTTTGTTTCTTTTCTTTTCTTCTCTTTTCCCCGTTTGAATTTTGAAAATGGTGAAAATTTGAGTTGTTAAATGGGGGGATGGTTTTTTTGCAGAAATTGCGAGGGGAGCTTGACAAGCTTCTGAATAGGAAGATTGAGGAACCCGGGCTGGATGTCTCTGTCGAGGGAAAGGGAGTGGTTGCTGCTGTGGTTGAGTTACTGCATAGTCAGAGTGTACAGTATTGAGATTCTCTACCTTTCTTAGAACTGAACACTTAGAAATAGGAGCACTTCGGTTGTTTAGATATATATACAAAACTTAGAACTTATTTTGTACTACTATTATTATTGTAATTCGAGGTTAAAAGAGAATTTTGTCCGGGAATTTTCTAGGATATGTTGAGCACTGGTTCAACTGAAATTTATATTTTAATAAAAGAAAAGCTTGTTTCTACTAACACTTTGTTTGTTTAGGGAAAAGAAGTGTTATTCCATTTTTTGGTATTTGGTATAATGGGAAATGAAAATGAACGAAAAATGTTCCTGTTGTGGTTAATGTTAAATGAGTTGATTTGGGCAAAAAATATTTTTCGAACTAGTGTACCAATGCTGTTATATAATCATTACTATTGCTCCTATTGTCGCTACCCCATTATTGCTATACTATTACTACCATCACTACCACCACTGCTAGAGCTATACTACTACCATCACCACCATTGCCCTGCACGGCCACCCTACTGTCATTGGTAGTGCCAATAATGCCATGCATCAAGTGATGATTCAGTTCGTTCAAAAAAAAGAAAAAAAGAAAGTGATAATTCAGGCATTAAACAGAGAGGAACAGGCGGTTTTCCAATTGATTTTGCAGTTGTTGCCAGTGATTGTATACGGTTATCATCCTCTATTTCCTTATGGCAATTTTGGTCCATGGCGTTTGTAGAGCTGGTGCAGCATGATTGTGATCGGTTGGCCTTCAATTTCTCAACAAAACCTTCTACTACTTGCCAAAAAAAATTCCTTTCCTGAACTATACAACAAATAAGCATGCTCTTTCTCCACACACACACACACACAAAAATAAAAAACAAATATGAAAACATAAACAAATAGACAAAAACAATCAAAAACCGATATATTGTTTTAGGTAGATTATTGATTCTTGGTCTGAATTTTAAGCCGAATATATAACTTATATGACAAGTCATGATTAAATTATACGTATGAATTGGATTCAATTATATATTACAAATGTTATATCACATATCATTGTCGTTTCTTCAACTCAACATCCATTTAAAATTTCGACTCCATTCCCCCTTGTTCATTTGCTTTCTAACAAAATTACCAACAAATAGGGAGGCTTTTCCCAAACTAAGCCTCTTTTGCCTCCTATTTCCCAAACTAGGCCTAGTTTTGACGGATTTCCCAAACTAAGCTAAAGCGCTATTACAAATCGCGCTTTAACTGTTTGGAGACCAAAATTTGATGAATAGTGAAGGTGCTATTGTGAATCGCGATTTTAATTAAGAAAACATTGTTCCGAATAGCGATTTTAACCTCAATTTTTTTCCCCGTATAAAACGCTATTCCAAATAGCGCTTCATTCCTGAAGAAAACGCTATTCCGAATAGCGACTTCACTGTGCATCACCTTGTGAATAAAACGCTATTTCAAATGGCGACTTCACTGTAGCTAAATGAAAACGCTAATTGAAAAAGCGTTTTTAACACTCCTATAAAAGACGAAGCCCCCCTCATTTGCATTCACGTTTTTGACACTTAGGTTTTTCGTCTCTTGCTCGATCTATCTGTCTCAAACAGACTCTCCATCTCTCACTCTCCATCTCCCTCTGCTCTCAGACTCACTCGATCTCGCTCTGCTTCGGCTCACTGTCGCTCTCGCTCTCCCTCTGCTCTCTGCTCTCACTCTCTGTCTCTGCTCTCTCTCTCTCCGTGGTATGACAGTTAACCATAATTTTATGTATTTATTTTTTGTGTTTGTGAAAATGTGAATGTGTTTTAATTTGCTGTGAATGTTAGGGTTTTATATGTGAATTATTAAACGTGTTAGGGTTTTATCAATGTGGTTATGAAATTAGGATTTAGAATTTTTTGAAATCAAAAATTAGGGTTTGGAAATCAGAAATCAGAAATGTGAATGCTTTTGAATTTGTGGAATTTTTTATGCTTTTGAATTTTTGGATGTTGCTTGTGAATTGAATATTTGGGTTTGGATTTTTTACGCTTTATCAGTGTGGTTATGAAATTAGGGTTCTAATGATAATTGTTGCTCGATATCAGATTGTTCACACATCCTTTTAGGATGACATTTTAGGGTTCACATTATTAAGGGTTCTAATGCTTGTGAATTTTTATGCTTTTGAATCATAAATCAGGTTTGAAATTTTTTGAATTTTTTAAATAAATCATAAATATGAGAATTGAGAATTGAAAATTGGAATTATGAAATTCATAAATTCATAAATCATAAATATGTTAATGTCATATTATGAAATTCATATAATTGAGAATTGAGAATTGAAATTATGAAATGTTTATATTTTGAAATTTGAAATCAGAAATTGGAATTTTTAAATTATGCTTGTGAATCAAAATGTCTATATTTTGAATTTTGAATAAACCAACTTATATTTGTTGAATTAGAAATTGTTTTTTTTCGCTTGTTAAGAGGAATTAAAAGGAAATTAGGGTTTGACATTAGGGTTTTAAAAGGAATTTTTTTTAATTAAGAATCGTGATTAAAAAATCCGAAATTCATATAATTGATAATTGTTAATGTCATATTATGATATTCATGTAATTGAGAATTGTTGAATTGAAATTATGAAATGTCTATCTTTTGAAATTTGAAATCAGAAATTCACCCGCCGGCTAGCTCACGTTTGTGTTTTCAGGTGATAAAGCGACGTCGTACGGAGGAGCGTGGACTTAGTCAACAGGATTATACGAGAAGGTGTGTTTCTTTCCCGTACAATTGGCGCCATCTGTGGGAAGAACAGACAAGAACAAAAAACCTCTTGACTAAGCTTCTCCTTTTCTTAATAAATGGCACACATTGAAGAACTACCACAATCCGCCGTCGACGGACTGACTCCAGATGGGGGCGCAAGGCGTGAAGGATTACCCATTGTCCCTCCCATGGCGGACTTGGAGCCCCAACAACATAACTCCAGGAGGGGTAGCAGGGGAAGACGGACTCACAGCCCCCGTCACTCTGATTCACGAAGTCCAGACAGACAAAGGAGGAGGGTTGATCCTCAAGCCCTGGAAGACCGCGTAAAGGAGCAAGACGAATTGATAAGGAAGATGGCGGCGGACATGGAGGCATTGAAACGCCAGATGAAGAACAAAGAGGTGGCGACAGGAGAGGGGCGCAAACACAAGACGCCCCCTCGCCACTCAGAAAATCGTAGTAGGAATACTACACCCTCGCAAGGAGAGAGCAGGAGCCTCAGGACAGGCGACACTCATTCCTTATCTTCCAGAACTCGTCACTCCAGGTCTGAGAGGACGAGATCCGAGAGATCATATACTGAAGGAAGCACATATTGGCCTTCGCATTCACATCAAACCAGATCCAGACAGACAGAATTGCCCAAGTCATCCGACTTACGAACCGTGCTAGAAGAAAAAGCACGATGCAAGGAGGATGCCAGGGCAAGGGATCCACATAGAGTCTCTGCTTTACAGCGGTTGGCTCCTCGGACGCATGGAAGCGTCGAGGTTGGAATGCCAGTACCGCGACCTGCCTATGAACCAACGGACAAAGCATTGGCAAGGTTACAGACTTCTCCGTTTGTTCCAGCAATTGAAAACGCGCCCCTACCATCAGGCTTCCTTCAGCCGAAGTTCAATACATATGAAGGAAAGACAGACCCGTATTCACACTTGAGCCACTTTCGCCAAGTCATGGCTGTATACAGGCGAAACGAGGCCTTGATGTGTATACTCCTCCCATCAAGCCTTGGCGATCTAGGCTTGACCTGGTTCGAAAAACTTCCAGAAGGCAGCATAGCCTCCTGGGATCAATTGGCGGAAGCATTCGTAACGAGGTTCCGGACAAACACTAAGACCCCCGTGGAGATCGACCAATTACTCTCCATCGACATGGGAGATAAAGAGACCCTCAGATCCTACAACAGTCGCTACTGGGAGACATTCAATCAAATTGGAGATTGCCCCACCAACCTCGCCATTGCCCAGTATAAAAGAGGCCTTCCAGTCGGGAATAGACTGAGGGACTCAATCACCATGACGCCACCCCTCACCATGGAAGCCCTGATGGAAAGAATGCATCAGCACATCAGGGTAGAAGAGGATGGCGCTCGTGCCAAAGCAAAATCTGGTACGACCGCAGTGTTAGAAAAGAAAGCCCCAGCAAAGGTTAACACAGTAGACCGTCAGAACCGAAACGGTCGTGGCAGACGAGATAACGGAGAAGACCCAGATAAAAGATGGTTGAGAATCCGCACTGCCATAACAACGGTATTCAAAAAGCCGATATACCGAATTCTAAGCGAGATAAAAGATGAGCCTTTTGTCAAGTGGCCAGCCAAGCTAGGAGAAGCTCAGAAAGATTATGACGACAGATCGCGGTGCACCTTCCACAAAGAAAAGGGGCACCGAACTGAGAACTGCACGCCACTAAGACAGCACTTGGAGGAATTGGTGGCGGCGGGACATCTGGATAAATACATTGAAGGAGGGACGCAACCAGCCCCCCAAGACCATAACAACCCCAACGGAATGCCAATCGATGCCCCACCACAGGGCGTCATCAATGTGATACATGGAGTTGTCGAACCTGAGCGTGTATGCGAACTCAGGGGCTCAATCAAGAAGGCTGAACACTTTAAAGAAGTAAGAAGTGCCCAACCAGCTACCAAGAAGGGGAAGACAGAAGCAACAAACATCATGTCTTTTTCGGATAAAGACTTGGAGCGGATATACTGTCCTCACAATGATGCCCTAGTCGCCACTCTCCGAGTCAAGGATTTTGACGTCAAGCGGATTCTGATTGACCAGGGTAGCTCATGTGAAATCATGTATTATGAGACCTTCAAACAACTAAAACTACAAGACAAAGACCTGGCACCTGCTGTATCTCCCTTAATCGGATTCAACTCCATGCCAGAATGGCCTGTCGGCAAAATAATTCTTCCAGTCAAGGCAGGAAGTGTAACAAAACAAGTGGAGTTCTGGGTATTGAAAGTTCCCTCCACTTACAACATCATTCTTGGCAGGACATGGCTGCATGCCATGCGATCGGTGGCGTCATCCTACCACCAAGTGATGCGGTTTCCTAATGACGCCGGAATAATTGAAGAAGTCTATGGAGATCAGATCATGTCAAAACAGTGCTTTGCCACGGCGAATGGCAGCCGCGCCGCCAAAGGGTACGTTCATTCGGTGGAAGAACCAGAGAGTAATAAACT